CGTCTCAACTCAGAAAAAAGCTGGCTACTATGTCTCGATCCAATTACAATAGAATTTACATGTAATAAACGCTGCGGTCACAGGCAAAATGCGTGAATAAATGTAAGCCAGAAAAATACCAAAAAATACATCAAACAAAACTATCAACAAAAGTGATAGATAGACCTCTCTCCTGTCCCTATTCTTGTGGACCATGGACAGTAAATATCAACGGACCTAATAACGCCTATCTCAGTCGTTGAAACTAGTATCTCACCACTTTCGCCGTCTATGGCCAGTTTCAAAATGTCTGCGGGGGCTGGAAAATGTGGAAAAATGCCCTTGCGCATTAGCCTAATGAGTGTCTTCAGAATTCCACAGCGGCTAAACTAGACTGGTCCACAAAAATACACTATGACGCACATCTGGAACGTAGCTGTAAAGCCGTTTTCGAGAGGCAAGAAGATGCTATACATTAGCATTGGCTAATTCTTATTCAGCCCGTGGTGGTATTGGCAGCATGACAGCGCACATAATTTTGGACATTTTTGAGCCGGGACTTGCCCCCACTGGCCCAAACACGCATGCACGCCCAAACACACACGCGCTCTGACACACACCCACGCTCACGCACACATGCATGCCCACCATACATGACTCTTATTCCCTTCTCCTTATTCTACTGTAATGTGCGACGGTGACATTGCAATATCCCCGCTGTGGGAAGAATGAAGGACTATCTTATCTCATCTTAGACTCCTAGAAGGTGTTAGAATGCTACTGGTCCTCTCAAACCATTTCAACCAATGAATACTGCACACTTCTCGTAGGTCGTACTCTCAGGCAAGACAGTACTTGCCACCCAATACTTTCCAATGAATATTTTAACTTTTTCATGCAATACTTTCCCAAACGCCCTCGTCTCCACTGTCCTTACCTCCCGACGATCTGAGCTAAACCCACCGTCAACATCTGCGCGTCATTTAAACAAAGCCACGCACCTACATTTGCTGAGTACGATAATATTGTGTTTGTCGTGTTAGCATATGGCGAAAATAATGACGCCGCTAATTCCCTCTCGCCGTTTTAACGCCGGCGGCGACGTTCCGCATATGCTTCAAATGTAGGTGATTATACAGCGTTCCGTTCTTGATTATATCCGCGGAGCAAATTCAAAATGGAGTCTGATTGCCATTTGTTCCCTCAAGTCATTCAATGGATTAATTTATGCCGCTTGTGCCGTTTTTCATTATGTATCATTGTGTACGGCCATAGATAAAACTCCAGCTCCAAATATGGAACCAATAAATCTGTGTGACATCAAAAAGAAAATATATATATAGATGTAAGGGACGAGAACACTGGAACAAAGGATCGGACAAAAGCATTTTTACTTGGCAGCGGCTTTGATTCTTCCTCCAGTTTCTGCTTCTTCAGTACAATTTCTCTTGCTGCATTTGTTACAAAAGACAGAACCAGAAGAATTAGAATATTTTTACCTGGGCCGAGGACTGGTCCCTTGATGCTTATTCAGAATGTAGACAATGAATGCAGATTATTTACAGCTTTATCATGCATGTAACAAGACAGCCACATGGGTCAAACAAGAATTCTGAGTTTTGGCCCTGGTTTCAATTGTAGTTCCTGGAAGTTTTAAATGTTTTTAGTAATGTTAATGTTTTAACCATGTTTGTACAGTGTCTTTGGGTGTTTTGGAAGGTGCTTCTTAATAAAGTGTGGTATTATTATGGTTATAGATAGACCAAACTCAGGCTCTTGGGAACAATCCGGCCTGCAAGATAATTTTTTAGTGGCACATAAAATTAGTTTCTCTTATTAATTATGGTTATGTGCTTCCAAGGCATTTATTAAATCCATGTAATGTATTCTAAAGTGACAACCCATCATTTGAAGTTAATTTGTTTAATGTGTTCAACTTTGGGCGACAGTGGCTAAGTTGGTAGAGCCTTGGCCTTTGAGCCTGATGGTCGACTCCCACTGATGTGTGCTGTCATTGTGTCCTTGGGCAAAACACTTAACCACACTTTACCTGATGTGTGTGCATGCATTTAAGTTAGTTGTCTGTGTTGCCATATGGATTGTGTGTACAAAAAAACTGTAAAAAGAGTGGAGTCAAAAGTGGAATTATAGTTTGTATAAAGCGAAGTGGGAGCATTGATGTCATGTTTTTTGGAGAAGGACGCTGTGTTCTGTGCCAGTGAGAAATATTTGGGAGGTGGAAAGTTATTTTGGGGAAATGGGACTCGCCAAAGAGTTGTGACTGTGTCCATGGCACGGGCCCAAAAGCAGGTCATTCACCAGCTGCTCTCAGCCCAACTTTTACATCAATCCTCTTTTCAGTCTATGTGTTTGAGTCCAAAAGATATCCCACTTTTAACACAGGAATGAGAAAGAAATGAAATCCAAGTAACTGGTTTTGCCACTTAAGTCCAAAAACCAGACCTCTGAAGCTAAGCAGGGCAGGGCCTGGTTAGTAATGTGATGGAAGACCTCTAGAAACACCAGGTGCCACAGTGGGACCTTATGTTTACAGAAAATAAATCTGTTTCAAAACATTACGACTTCTGTGGACATTTATGCATAATCATTATTAATCTGATCACATTATGATAAAAGTATGGAATATGCCCAAAATCCCCCAGCTCAACTTTCCATGGACATTTTCTAGAAATGGGGCGACAGTAGCTCAGTTGGTAGAGCATTGGCCTTTGGGCCTGAAGGTCGTGGGTTCAAGCCCACCATAAGACCTACTTCATGACTCCCACTTGTAACGGGTGTCGTTGTGTCCTTTGACAAGACACTTAACCCTACTTTGCCCAAAGCCCCAACTGAAAGATCTCAGCTCCTGTGGACTCACCACCTGCAGGAGGATCAGTGAGGGGCTGGTGCTAAGTGTACTGGGTGCAGCTCTGACTGCCACCCCCCCGACCCAGAAATGGATTAAGGGGAAGAAAATGGATGGATGGATGGATGGATGAATCAGAAATGTTCCATCCCATTACAACTGTTGTCAGAAAAGTTTTCCTCCGGGTACATCTAAACAACTGAGGCTGAGTGAATAGTGCTCACACCATCTGAGAGGTTTTGTATCCTTCATCTTGGGCTGCATGGGTTCTCTCCAGGCGCTCCGGTTTTCCCCCATCACCAAAATCAAAATTATACATTTATTTATTCTTTACAAGATGTTATATGATTTTTTTTTTTGCTCACACTCGTAATGGCCACAAAAACTGGATGGAGGGATTTGAAGTCATCCAAGCAAATCACTGACATCTGCATTCCGACAAGCAATCCCACCACAGTAAAAGTTAATGCGCCTCGAAGGTTAAAAACCGTAACCAAATTCAATGCGCTACATTTATGCAGTGAGTCCACGGACGCCGGCGTCGGCTGGAAGCATGTCTTTTGTGTGTTCACATTTGAATAATCAGTAAACAACAACAACATCTCCTACCGGCGCGCGATGATTACAACGTTAAGTGTTCTGTGACTTATTCATATTCGAGGGCGGTCGCCGCGCGCACATACAGGCTGCTTACAATGCGCCTTATATTGTGGCGGCGTCAGCGTGCACAGGTGCCGAGGCCGATCTCACGTCTTGTTATGGATTCCGGAAAACACCAGCGGGACGCGCTCGGGGTCAGACGTGCTCGGGGTCAGTCACGGTCGAACGATGAAAACAAGGATTACTACTGAGAGATTCCATATTTATGAAGGCAAATAAATACAGGCTCATTGAAGAAAAGGCCGGAGAGGCTGAAAGTCACATTGTATTGTTGGTGTCTGAGTCGTGGCCTGTGAGTTTAGACACTATTTTTTTTATCACAAGTGGTGGAAAAAAATCTATTCTGTTCAGTATCGCGATATATTGAGCTCGCAATTCAAATTGATTGAATTGAGACATTAGTGGCAGTAATAAGGTCCTGCGTCCTGGATGTTCAAGGATGAAGTATTTGCACTACAGTTAATGTATAACAGTTCAACGCCAGGAAGCTGAACGCTGCAGAGGGTTGGAGTGGTGGTGGGGCAATCCAAACTGATACAGGATGTTTTTGACTTGATCGTATTGTGGTGATCGAGAGGTCAAAGAAAGGAGTCTATGGCACTCTGTTGAAGTGAAAAAAAATAAAAATCCTTTGAATAATAATGTGACAGATCGATCGCCGAATGGAATCACAAAACTTGCTGTATTGCAATATGTTAAGAATCAGAATATAGTGGCTCAAATATTGTGGCAATATACGTGACCGTCATATTTTGGCTCCATTCAATCGAATATACATTTGTTTTTATAAGTTAAATTAACCAGTTCAACCACTTATCAAAGGTTCAAAAACATGCATACATATACATTTCGTACCTTTAATAAAACTTGTGAAAAAATCCAACTATTTTTTGTTATATCATCAAAATGCCCGTGATTTTGAATGAGAGCCAACCAAAATGACTGCCCTGGGAGTTCTAGTAGTTTCAGATGATTTAGTCATTTAGTGAGAAGTTCTTGGTGGAAATAGAGGAAAGGCTGCACATTTTCTTCAAATCACTTTCTATATTTTTTATTTTTTCCTCCAACTTCAGTAACATCATTGATCGACCAGTTGTTGAAGCGAGTCCAAACCCGCTCAAACTGTTTTCTCACATGATAACTGTGAACGACACAGCGCCGGTAGCCTCGGTGATGGCAAAGACTGTTATAAAGCATTGGTTGATTTTTCAAAACTTCTCAGAAACTGAAGAAACTGATTTGATCGTTAAAACAGACCTTCATTATGTCGATGAGTGACATATGGCTCATTCACACCTCGTTCACTGCTGTGTGTGAGACAGAGGAATCTGAGGGAGGCACTGTCACTGTTGTCACACGCACATTTCATAATCTACTTCAACAAAAACAACCTAATTCATTTTTTATCACTGATCGAGGCCTTTCTTAAATCCTGGGACATTTGTGGCTGAAACAACAAGCCGGTCCCTCTCTTAGTGCGGGTCTCGCTGAGGTTTTAGGATTGGTCCTTTGCCGATGCAGGAGGGTCTGAGGATAGTGAGGGTCTGAGGATAGTGAGGGTCTGAGGATAGTGAGGGTCTGAGGATAGTGAGGGTCTGAGGATAGTGAGGGTCTGAGGATAGTGAGGGTCTGAGGATAGTGAGGGTCTGAGGATAGTGAAGGTCTGAGGATAGCGAGGGTCTGAGGATAGCGAGGGTCTGAGGATAGCGAGGGTCTGAGGATAGTGAGGGTCTGAGGATAGTGAGGGTCTGAGGATAGTGAGGGTCTGAGGATAGTGAAGGTCTGAGGATGGCGAGGGTCTGAGGATAGAGAGGGTCTGAGGATAGTGAGGGTCTGAGGATAGTGAGGGTCTGAGGATAGTGAGGGTCTGAGGATAGTGAGGGTCTGAGGATAGTGAGGGTCTGAGGATAGTGAGGTTCTGAGGATAGTGAGGTTCTGAGGATGGCGAGGGTCTGAGGATAGTGAGGGTCTGAGGATGGCGAGGGTCTGAGGATAGTGAGGGTCTGAGGATGGCGAGGGTCTGAGGATAGTGAGTGAGGGGAGGTCTGAGGATAGTGAGGGTCTGAGGATAGTGAGGGTCTGAGGATAGTGAGGGTCTGAGGATAGTGAGGGTCTGAGGATAGTGAGGGTCTGAGGATAGTGAGGTCTGAGGATAGTGAGGTCTGAGGATAGTGAGGGTCTGAGAATGTTTTCTCACATGATAACTGTGAACGACACAGCGCCGGTAGCCTCGGTGACGGCAAAGACTGATAAGTGTTGGTTGATTTTTCAAAACTTCTCGGAGACAGACCTTCATTATGTCGATGAGTGACATATGGCTCATTCACACCTCGTTCACTGCTGTGTGTGAGACAGAGGAATCTGAGGGAGGCACTGTCACTGCTGTCACACGCACATTTCATAATCTACTTCAACAAAAACAACCTAATTCATTTTTATTACTGAGTGAGTTCTGAGGATGGGGGTCTGAGGATAGTGAGGGTCTGAGGATGGGGGTCGAGGGTGAGGGTCTGAGGATGGCGAGGGTCGTGAGGATAGTGAGGGTCTGAGGATAGTGAGGGTCTGAGGATGGTGAGGGTCTGAGGATAGTGAGGGTATAAGGATAGTGAGGGTCTGAGGATAGTGAGGGTCTGGGACATTTCACCCTTGATAAGATGCAATACTGTTTAAAACAGCAGATTAGCTGAAACGATAGGGGTAGTATTGATTGGCAATTTTTTTTTTTACTATTTCACTCTGAGTTCTGTTTTTTTTTTTCATGTCCTGGTAAATATCATGTCTGTCAGTTCAAAAAACATCAAAACATATCATAAATTCTAATTTCCATGATTGCCACCGCTGTATGACCTCATAATATTCAAAGTAGATGGCTCCATTTAATCCCTACATTAACTTAATGTCTCTAATTTACAGAAAGCCTCCATCTCTCATCACATTTTAGTTCTAGCCTTTTGAAATGAACATGTCAAAATTAAGCGTTTTTAAGAAAAGACTGTCTTTTAAAGGGTTAAAGAACCCAGACATGAAAACACTTTGGAAAGCAGCATTCAACGATCAAATTTATCAGTGTTGCATATTTTCTTCTGAGGGTTCTTGGGAATTTGGCCCCTGAGCAACACGAGTCTGACACCTCTGCCCTGGAACGTTCTACGAGGACCACAGAGGGAGGAGGGAAGCCCGGGCTCTCCCTGCTCCTGTCCCGGGTCTCCCTCCTCCTTCTGTGGCCTCATGAATAAAGTGCTATTGCTTTACTGCACAATGGTCCTGAGGGAAACAATGTGTTATTGTTAGTGACGCGGCCCTCCCGTTTGTTAAAGGGCCCCGTCGGAACGCAGGAGACGAGTCAAGTGGAGCCAGGCTTTTGAAGTGACATCATGTTGCATTTGGAAAGTGCTGGTACAGAAACTGAGAGAGGGGGACTGTGCGGAGCCAGCAAGTGCCGCATCAGGAGCTCAAAGGGCCCATGGCTTCACCCAGGCATGTCCAAACTCAGGCCTGGGGGCCAAATATGGCCCTCAATGTCATTATATGTGGTCCTCTGCTTTGCTAACCCAACGTAGTCTTTGAGATCATAAACACAAGTTCACTTTGTCATCCATCCAACTTCAGCTCAGCCAATATAGACCTTGTTCTAAAGCCCAGTACGTCGTTGACTTTATCTGCACATACTTTACGGACGTGGTTTTTAATTGTGTCACTTTGGTTAATGATGTTAATTCACCTGGGGAGATGGTAAACATGTGTCATTCAGCCAACTTCAGCTCTGTTATAGATCATTATAAATCTCAGAACAGCCCGATGTCAGTCAAGATAGTTTTTCAGTCCGTGATGTCAGCCCCTGGACTAGTCTGGTGAACTAAAGTGACCCTCTTACTAAAAATTGGCTTAACCTGTGATTATTTATACATTGATTGGTTTTTAACTTTGGTCGTTACATAAATTATGTTACATTTCAAACATATGATTAAATACAATAAAATGCAACCAAAATTAATGATTAATTAAAATCATTAATCAGCTTTAAATGTGTGCTATACAATATTTAACAAACAATAACATAAGCAAGAACTAAATTAGCATCAAGATGTGTTTTTTTTTCTCTGACTCAAATTATGGAATTTACTTTTACTACAATTTTGAAAATGATCTTAAAGGTTTATAGGAGCATTTTCTTCTCTGGGTGGATCATCAAGACTGTTGGTCCTCGAAGATATAGGAGCCCATTTTTTTATTTTATTTTGTTTTTCAACCAATCAATTTCATCAATTTTATTTATAGAGCCCTTTACAACACTCAAGGCGACCAAAGTGCTTCACAATAAAATGACATAAAATCCATTTAAAACAATAAAACAGATTAAAAAAACATTTAAAAAGTGTGACCTGCTAATGAGTGATAAAAGTGTTAAAAGCCAGTCTGAATAAATACATTTTCAGCCTGGTTTTAGAGTCTGGTTGCAGGACCGGTCACCCCAGTGTTTGGACCAAAGTTTTTGTCCTTTACCAAATGGTTGAGTTTGATGGTAAAGTGCCTAAAATCAAGTGATAGATTTTACCCAATGAGGTAGACTTCAGCTTCAAGTGTTATAGTTGCATATTACAGCTGAATAAAAGGAAGAAATAAGAGCACTGAATGTTTTTCTTCCAGATTAGTGTGTGATTTTACCTTCTATTCAAACCTGACGACGGATAAAACGCTCTTCAACTGTGTGATGTGTGAATATTTTCTATTTGTTTAAGCCGCTGCTGATTTGATATTGATAATATTCCGAGCCTCTTCTCAGGAGATTATCTTCGCGTCTCAGCCGTACATTGTTTACACATACCGTAAAGGTATGTACTTTCATAATTCTACATTATTTACAGTACATTGGGTGAAAGGAGAAAAAAATACATATGTTCACAATGGTAAAGATTGGAGTAATTTATCAACATTACTTCTGTTAAAAAAATGCTTTGCTGTGATTGGCTGGAAAGGTTTTTGTTGAGGTTTTACTTTTTCCTAATTTTTTTCTAGATTCAAACTAGACCCAGACATGAAAAATTAAAATAAAAATTAAAGTATGGTTCTTGTTGGTCGGGCAACTATATTTTGGCGTTCTGTTTCAAGCTACCAAGACTGAACCTATTTTAATTTTGTTTTCAGCCACTTATTGACTTTCTTCTTGGCTGCAGAAGAGGCTACTCTAATTTCAGCACCATGGACAGCAACATATTGACGCAGCCACTAATCTTGTGTTTTTCTCTGATTTTCCACTCAAATTAGGCCTCTGCAAACATAAGCACACTCCTGCCTGTCACGTACCACTCGGTTATGAATCTTAACCAATTTACTAAGCCGTAATTATTTCATACTTGCCACAGACGCGCACCTAGACATGTCAAGCTTCCCTGCAACCCGGAATCAAACAAAGCCTCCTTTCATGTAGCCCTCATGTGCGTGAGGTCCGATCACGGCCTGGCTCCCAACTGCAGTTATTATCCGCGTGCAACACTATCTAACTCTGCAGTGTTTACTTCGAAAAGTGCAAAAGGGAAACATCACTAAAGCACTTATCACCCACGACATCAACAAAGCCGCAGCAGAAACTAAGCTCCTTATGCTAATGTGAGCATGTCTGCAATCTTTATGGCAGCGCGGAGCCATCTGTAGCCCAGGCCCGGTGCATTGTGGGAGACTCATCTGTAACATATGAGATGGCGTCTTTGTCAATGTAAGATATGAAGTTTTGAGCATGAAAAAAATTTAAAAAATGATTGCGGCTCGTTCGTCTTTTGAAAGTTATTGTTATCGTTCGTTTCTGGGGTGAGTGCCAGACTCCTTCTGCGCTCGGGGGTATTGCGAGTACTGGCTAATGATTTTTTGAAATAGAACTAAATGAAAGCTGTAAGAAATGGAAAGAATGTTTGGGATATAGAAATACATGATAATAAATACAAGTCATTATTTTGGAGTGAGTTAAAATCAAATGGACTTTTGACATTCAGCAACGTTTAGGGTCGTTGGTCTCTGCCCTTTTTGGACCAATGGCTCCATGTGTTTTTTAATCATTTTTTCTGTGTTTGAACTGTTTGATACTCTGATCTGTGCTGGCGAAATCAACGGTTTTGTTAAATGTCCTCTGAGATAACTGCTGTTGTGATTCAGGGCTATACAAGAATGCATTGAATTCAATTGAAATCAATGTATTTCTCACTCAGTCAAAAAGGACAACAGTAGCAGTCATCTCGAGCGGTGTCACAGAGTTGTTAATTCCCTAAAAGCATATTAGAAAATCTGGGTAAAAAATACATGCTATAATAAAATATTTGCCTTGTCATGTGCCCATAGGATAACAGCAGAACCAAAAATATGCAAATTATACCCTGTCTCTGGAACTTCCTGCATTGGAATTCCTGCTTAATAATAAACATTACATTTGTTTAATCCAATGCGTCAAATGTAGCAAGAGAGATAAATAGATAAACTTATTAAAACCCTGTAGGAGAATTGCATCCATCCAAACAAACAAAACAAATGGATCATTCTAAAAAGCTAAGTCCAAAGTAAAATGCCGAATGCTTTGTTTGCATTTATCAAAAAAGTTAGCGTTCTTCCAGTGGATTTTCACCTGATCCGCTTGGTTCGGACCTTGAATCCTCTTTGCTCTGGTCTGGACCAGTGTAAAACCATGAACACTGTACTGCACCAACATCTCAGGCAGAAAAAAGCAAGAAAAATAACAGTTGTAAAGCACTAAACCACAACTGTTTCAGAGACACCTAGGACTTGCAGCCGTTTCCAGCGCATTAAAACGTAAACCAATGCATGTCATCTAGTATATTATATTTCTCCCACATTTTTATATTGCCTTCTGTTGTTCACATTGTATACAACCTTTGCCATTTAATGTATTTTCAGAAGTCCAGAGATTCAAATCATGCTCCAATCTCCCGTACAAAGAAGCCTGCTTTACAATCCAGAATTATGGCAGCACATGACACAGTGAATAAATGACACATTTCTTTGCCAAAGTGCGCACACACAAACGCACACAAACTCCGAAACCAATCTCCATTCTGAGTAATTATGTCACTTTGCAACTGTTGTTCAAAATGCCATGCAAAAAACAGTCTGATCACGACAAGGGAATGAAAAAAACAGGTTTATATCTGGAACTTTTGGCTGGGAAAGTGAAACAATGGCAGCCTCTACACTTGAGTGATGGGTCAGGGAAAAAAGAACTTAACCACCAAAGCTCTTCGCTATATTAGCCCCAAACAATAGTCTAATTGACTGACAGATTCGGAGCAGCAATAGGGGCAAAAAAAAGTCTGCAGTGTGTGAGAGAGAGACAGAGAGAGCATTACTTCACCGTTTTTTTTACTGTGTGGAATAAAACAATCGCATAAAGCAAAGGACAAATTAGCGAGACTTTTTAATGGCGTGTTTGGAAATTACATTCTGCAGTGGGAGAAACTAATTGGAAGAGACTAAAAACTTTAAAGTTATTATGTTTTGGATAAGGACGGGGGAAGAATTAGTGGCCAGCGTTTGTGTAAAGGTCACGGATTTGGACGTATATGTGTGCCTGTGTGTGTGTGATGGATTTGAGACTCGGGAGCAATCAGTAGCTCACCAATCCCTTCCAGGTACAGAA